AGCTCACTATTACTTCAATACGAACAACTATCTAATCGAATCAAAGGTTGGGTGTTTAAACTAATCTAATCTACTCCTAAAGAAAAATAAAAAACCAACCAAGTGGTTGGGAGACCGCTAGAGATGAGACGATTGCCTAGGGTCGAATCCTCCTAGCTATGGTTGTCAAGTAGGGTTAATCGAATGTGGTGAGTGAGCTCGTTTTCGTGGGCTTTCATGGTTATCCACACGCCTCCGAGTACACCTCCCCTAAACCCATGTAAGTCACCTCGACCTAGGCTATCGTATCTGGGGCATTAAGCTCATAGCTCATTTCGATGGGTGCTACCCACCGTCCACACCGAGGTTTCATCCCGACTTCTATCTAGGAAGGCATTCCTATGGTAGGGGTTCAGTTACCTCGACCACCATAGGATCCTATTCATACATCTAACCTCAATTTGATTGATGGCGCATACCCGTCTAACCCTAAAACTCCATACCCAGCGAAAAAGCTCAAGTAGGCTAGTAGAGAAGATTAGTGCGACTTACTCAAACACAATCAAATATAGAATTCAGAAAATACCACTCAACCCCAAAAAATTCCAAAAATACCACCTTTTTCAAAAACCGCCACCTCACCCTGCGGTTTACACGAAAACCGCTGGGCCGGGCGCGGTTTTCTATGCAAACTGCGGGCCTAGGAGGCGGTTATAAAATTTTTTTGGACCAAACCGCTGTGTGGGGTGGCGGTTTGGCCCAAAACCGCCACCCCACCCAGCGGTTTGGTCCAATTTTTTTTTTCCGATGAACTCCTAACTTCGGACGAAATCAAAAAAAGGCTCGTTCGGGGTGGCAAATGACGTTTTTTCGAGACGAAGGCGGGACTCGACGGTTTGCGGCTTGTAAGATCTCAAAAAGTTATTCGGATTCAAAAAATGGAGGCCGCAAACTTTTTGAGATCTTGCAAGCCGCCCACCGCCGGGTCTCGCCTTTCGTCAAACTTTGGGCGGCCATAACTTTGTGCTCCAAAATCCAAACGTCATGAATTTTTTTTTATTCCGCATAAATTTTCAAGATATACAACTTTTAAGATAATCATAATTTCAAAATGTACATGGATTTGTGAAAAGTAAAGGTAAAGTTAATCTCAAGGTCCCGCATATCCACAACTAATTCCTGTTTTGAAAATTTCATCCTAGTAAAAGTTGTAGATCTTGAAATGTTAAGCGAAATGAAAAAAAAAATCGCTACGATCGGATACCCGAGTGCAAAGTTACGTTCGTTTGAAGTTTCGGCCGAAGTTAGGAGTTGATCGAAAAAAAAAAAGGACCAAACCGCTTGGTGGGGTGGCGGTTTTGGGCACCCAGCGGTTTGGTCCAAATTTTTTTTTTTATAACCGCCCCCTAGGCCCGCGGTTTGCATAGAAAACCGCGCCCCCGCCCAGCGGTTTTCGTGTAAACCGCAGGGTGGGGTGGCGGTTTTTGAAAAAGGGTGGTATTTTTGGAATTTGTTGGGGTTGGGTGGTATTTTTAGAATTCTATTTTTAAACAGTGGTACTTTTGGATTTTTTCCAATAAAGCTCTCCCAAGGTGTTTCCCTCTCTAAAAACAACCCAAACCCCATACTTTCTCACTCTAGGACGACTCTCCTTTGAAAAGTGCATCAATATGGGTATTTATAGAAAGTTGATGAGAGTCAAGCCCTCTAGGGCTTGAAGCGATGGTCACGGCCGTGACCAGTTGGAACGTTACCGAATCGCCCGAAACAATGTGTTTTGACTCCGTATTTATGCTATGAGATTGCGACCGTGATCTTTGTGTCTCGGGCGAAATCTTTTTCGCGGTCAAAATGCATTATGCCCGCGATTCGACTGGTGAAACTATCTGCCTTCTTCTTGGTCGCTTGCTCAGGTTTGAGGCCACTATTCACGACCGCAATCTTCAGGGGCGAGCATGGTTACGACCTGGTGGTCAAGGCCGTGACGTGTGGTCGTGACCAGTGCCTCTTCTCTCCTTCTTGCTCCTATGCTTTCCAATCGTGCTCGGATGAACTCCAATAAATTTCGATCAATCCCAAATGCATATAAGCCCTGGAATTTCATCACAAACACTTGGAAAAATATAAAATACGACAAAGTGGGGTTGGCTCCCTTATGAAAACCATCATATCATGAATACCTATGCCAAAATGCATGTTTTGCAAATAGGAACTAAAATATGCATAAATAACTTGATATGTGGCCTACACACAATGATATAACATGCAAATGCCTTGGTAATAGGGCTAAATAACGCCTATTTTAGGTGTTATCAATGATACTTAAAAGTTATTTGACTGACTGCTCTCTCGAATATGTCCTTTCTCCAAAAGCTCATCAATCTGCCTCTATAACTCCTTCGTTTCATCTAGATTCGTCCTAGAAGCTGCCTTGTTTGGAATGGTAGCTCTAGTGACAAAGTGAATTTGATGCTCTATTCCGCGGATTGGAGTTAGGCCTTTTGTAGCTTCCTCGGGAAAGACATCATCAAATTCCTCTAATACCACTCGTACCCTAGGTTGTATGTCATGAATTAGCTCTTAATTGAGTAGAACACCCTTGAATATGATCATGATCATGGATTCATGCACAATCATTTATCGCTTGCTTCACGTCTCCACTTTGTGATAACATCAATGCATTGGACTCTAGGGCATTAGTCCTTCCTAGCTTCTGGCTTGTAGTGCTAGCCTCCCTTTCTTGCTCCCTATTTCATTTTAGTTGTAGTTGATCTTCATAGACTTCCTGGGGAGACAAGGGCTTTGATCACATTTATCCGTGCAGATTATTGTCAGTGGTTATCATGTGTCAACAACTACCCCATCCTAGGTCAAGTTTAACCTAAAATGGCATTGTCGTATAGTGGTAATCAAGGACGTATTCACTCGTGTCCTGGTACCCTAGCCTACTTCCCACGTTGTTATCTAGCCGATCGGTTTAAGGGTATGTGTTGGAGGATATGAGGGACCTAACTAGTCTAGAGATCAAATAAAGATAAAAGCAGGTACATCAGGAAACTATCCCTCACCCAAGCCTAGGACTACTATGCAATGTCTAGATACTTAGGGTTTGTCGAATGTGGTGAGTGAGCTCTTTTCCATGGGCTTTCGTGGTTATCCACACGCCTCCGAGTACACCTCTCCTAAACTCATGTAAGTCACCTCGATCTAGGCTATCGTATCTGGGGGCATTAAGCTCGTATCTTCTTTCAATGGGTACTACCCACCGTCCACACTTAGGTTTCATCCCGGGTTCTTTCTAGGAAAGCATTCCTATGACATGGGTTCGGTCGCCTCGATCACAATAGGATCCTATTCATTCATATAACCTCAGTTTGCTTGATGGCGCATACCCGTCTAACCCTAAAACTCCATACCCAGCGAAGAAGCTCAAGTAGGCTAGTAGAGAAGATTAGTGCGACTTACTCAAACACAATCAAATATAGAATAACATTCAAATCAACTAGATAAATGCATTCATTCATTAAAAATGCTACGATATCAATACATAGTAACCTAAAACTAAGGTTTGGGGTTTTGAACCACAGTCGCTCCTTGCTCAAGTCTATAAGGGTAAATACTTTCCGAATGGGCATTTTCTTAATGCTAAAGCTCGTTCACGCCCATCGTGGGGTTGGCAGAGCGTCTTATTTGGCCGACGGGTGCTTGAGATGGGGCTTAGGTGGCAAATTGGCAATGGGCAGTCGACATCTCTTTTGCATTCCACTTGGATCCCCCAATTCCAGTTGGATCCCCCTAGATATAATCCTTGCGTTTTACCTAGCGGGGGTGATCCGCTGGTTGCTGAACTAATATGCCAGGGGGAAGGACGGTGGTGTGATACTAAACTAAGTCAGTGGTTTGATCCACCCACGTGCCGGTTAATAAAAGCTATTCCCCTCCCGCGGTATAATGTTGAGGATAGGCTTGTCTGGGGTATTACGACTGATGGGGTTTTCTCTGTTAAGTCTGCTTACCACTTGGCGGTCTCACTGGATAGGAGGAGGGGTCGGTGGAAGGCCACGGCAAGCTGGATGGATAGGACTAGTTGGATCCGGTTATGGGAAGCTAACATCCCGCCTAAATTAAAGGTGTTTGTTTGGCAAATCCTCAATCGCATTTTACCAACAACGGAGGCTCTAATTGAGAAGAAGGTCCAGGTGCATCCGCGGTGCCCGGTTTGCTGGGGGAGTAAGGAAACGTTGGAGCACCTGTTCCTGGATTGTCCGGTGGCACGGGCCCTATGGGGCAATTCGGGTCTGGAGCATTTAGGGGAAGGGCTTCCTAGGCATACTTTCCCGCTCTTCCTTAAAAGATTGATGGCATTACTTGAGCAGCTGGATGTGCTCATGAAAGTGGTTGCGCTCCTTTGGCGAATATGGCGGTCTAGGAATTGGGTGGTTTTTGATGGCAAGCAGGTGGGGTTCCCGGCGTTGATGCGCCAGTTTTACCAACAATATGAGGAATGGGTCCGGCTCCCGCGAGATAAAGTTCTTCGGCAGGTGAGTCCTTTGGCACAACATTCAGGCCTAGTGGGTCAGGATGGGGTTATTTGCATGTGGGATGGGGCTACTAGGCGGGGTTCCCATTCGGCGGGTGGTTTGGTTTTGATGACCCCTTCTCGGGATGTTCTTTGGGCCAAAGGGGTCCAATTTCCGGTACTTGATGATCCCATGGTGGTGGAGCTGCTTGTCCTTCGTGAGGGTATTCTCTGGTGTCTTGCGAGTGGGTGCATGATCGTCAGGTTTGAAGGGGACGCTAAGGTGGTAATTGATAAGATCCTGCAGGCTGATACTCGGGATAACAGGATGGGAGCGATTCTTGAAGAGGTGGTGATGTTAATGTCTAGTAATCCGGGGTTTAGTGTACGTTTTGTAGGTCGGAGTGGTAATAGGGTAGCCCATTTGGTGGCTAGAAAGGCCCTTTCTTTGTACCCGACTACAAGTCGTTTGTTTGATTATCAGGCCTGGCTTTTATCCAGGATGTAATTGCCTATTTTTGAATCAATATATGATTATCTTTTGTTAAAAAAAAAATACATATGCATTTATTTTCCCTTTTTTTCTCAATGCACACACATCATACGCCACACTTGGACTTGGTTTACAAAATAATTAATTACACGATGCATCTTTCCCGAAAGAAAGAAGAAACCTTAGGAAAACCATCACAAGTTATTTGAAATTGTGACAAAGCAAAGAAAATAGCTTTAGAAAAAATTCATGAACAAGACCTCAAGAGAACCCACAAATTGAAAAGGAAATTAAACAACTATATATATATATATATAGTAGAGATGTAAGTGGATGATGGGTAAGAGGTCAGAGCATCCAGGTGCCTGGAACAAACCCATCATTATTGGCAGTGGAAGCGACCGCTTGGTTCACCTCATCATTGTACCTGTACAGTCATGCAAAATGACAAGATTAATTAAAACAAGTAATTATTAGGTTAATGGCAAGTTAATTACAAGTAATGCATTTGATTAACGACATGCATTATACGTATATACTTACCCATTGTGGAGAGTGGGAGCTAAGTTATGGAAGAAGGCTTGAGAAGATGGATGCTGCTGATGGTGAGAGGGAAACAGGTGACTGTAAGGAATGTTAATGTTGTGGTTGTTCCCTCCACCACCTTCCCACATCACCCGCAGAGGCGCCATTTGTACACAACTGCTTTCCTCCAACTGAGCAATACGTATTATTCAAAGTGGAAAACCAGGTCATGATGAATATTAAGGGTACTACATGGCAACTAAGTAATGAATGAATCTAGGTATAGGTTACCTTCCTTCTCAGCGATTTGTTGGTTTCAAGCAGAGCTTGTTCCTGTGAAAATATATATATATATTGGAGTTTGGCAGCATGAGTACTACATTAATGATAATCCAGTCATTGTTAGTGTTTTAACTAGTTCGTAAAGTGTTCAAAGAATGCTAATGGATGTTTAAAAATACTGAAAAATTTACGGAATCTATAAATAATTTGCTACTAAGAACATGGCACAGAGTAGTAGCGTGGGTATCGGAAATTCGACTTGGAATCGGGGAAAAAAAAACTGAATTTTTTTGTTTCACTACGTACCTTGTTGTGAAGATCGGTAAGCTGGTCAAGCATCATTTGTGTCTGGAAAACCCAAAGAAAAAGAAAAGCCACCAGAAGCGTCAGAGAGAATTATATACATATACATTAGGGTGTAAGTTTGACTAGGGGTGAACAAACACACCCGCAAACCGACCCACCCGTCCAACCCGACCCAACCCACCCATATTTATCGCTAAAACGAAGGTTTTGGGTTGGGTGACGATTTTCTTTTGTGCAACCCGCCTCTTTTGGGTTGGGTTTGGATTTTGGATTACACAACCCGTAGAACCCGACCCAACCCGTGTTCCAACTATTAGTATGAGTTCGTATCTAAAAAATATTTATGTCGTATATAGCCATACTTATGTGAAAATTAAGATATTTCGCCATGTTTTTCTATCATGGTCTCCCTGATCTAATGCATTCTTCGACTTAAAGTTTAGACATAAATTGAATATAATTATGATTCACGTAATCATTTTTGTTGTATACAATTTTAATAGAATAACATATTATGGATGCATTTGTTTATCACCTTTTTAGCCTATTTCAACAAATATCGTGAAAAAAACTAGGCATATGTTGAAGTAAATCACATTTTATTAAAACTCAAATAACATTTGTGAATTTTGATACATTTCACATCGGTTTATTTGTTTGAAATTTTAATTAGTTATAAAATATTTTTATGGTGTATAATAATTATATATTTTATGTTGGGTTGGGTTTTTACTTAAAAATATCGCCAACCCGACCCAACCCAATTAGAAACAAACCGTAGGGTTTAAATTTTTTTGAGTGGGTTTGGGTTTGACAATTCCCAAACCGTAGTGTATGGGTCGGGTGATTAAAATACTTAAACCCGAACCAACCGACCCATGTACACCCCTAAGTTTGACCCTTAAAACTCACTGACCCGCCCCGTTTCTCAGAGTCGGGATGAGTCGGTTTGTCTACAGGGTCAGTTTAGTGTCGGGTCAGCTTAGGGTTGGATCAGGGTCAGATAGGGAGCGGTTACGGTGATTACTACAAAGTAGTAATCATCATGGCTACTAAGGATAGGAATGGTATTTTGGTGCTTATTGTTTTGGTAGTGATGCTGTGTTTTATTGGTAGTGTTTACGTTGTGGTATTGGTGTATATCTTTGTTGATGTATCGGTATTCAATATTGAAAAATGTGCATAGTTTGGTATCAGTATCATTAAAATGAATTGTTTTGCTCGTCCCTGTGTTTTAATGGTATTAGTATCATTAGTTATGTGTTAGTAGACATATTGCTGACGTCGCTCTTCATCAGACATCGTAGGAGTATGATTTATTATTGTTTCGGTATATATACATATCTTTATTGGTATATATGTTTGGTTTGATTGGTATTGACATAGCTTTTTTATGTTTTGCTATTGTTAGTAGCTAGTGTTTGTAGCAACCTTATGTATGATAACCAATACCATTCCATAAAACTCGAACAATACCATTGCACATATAACAATGAATACTACCATTCCATATAGTAGATCACTACCAATGCATGCTAGTCTCAACAAAACCGCACACATGTACTATTGCAAGATCAACAAACGGTGCAACTCATCTTGACCACTACCATTGCAAGATCAAATAACATACCAATCCACCAAAAATCACTACCATTGCAAGATCACTACCAATGTATGCAGATAACTACGAAAATGGTAGATCACTACCATTTCATGAAAAAATCAATTTCTTGCTTTTTGGTTTTGCCTTCCGCCACTGCTCTTCTTCTCGCTCTCGTTACCTTCCATATATATATATATATATATATATATATATAAAATCCATGGTGCGCTCTCTTTCAATCCCTCTCCATCTCTCTCCACTCGAAGGCAATGAAGAGGACATGAATCGATTTTCTTTCTTCCGTGAGCTTCCGGTTCGGGATCGAAGGAGCCGCTTGTTTCGAGGTTGGGCGACGACAGATGACCAGAGACGGTCAGCGAAGCTTGGTCCTGTGGCGCGTTGGGAGTGAGGGAGGTGAGGGTAGAAGTAGGGTTTGGATAGCCTCTCAATGACGATGGGAGCTTGCGGCAGGTTTGACTGGAGGGAGAGGAGGCTAGGGTTTGGGTACAATATACAGAATAATCGGGTGTTGTTTATTTTTTGTTTCCAAAATTACCCTAAAACAATCTTAACCGTGAGATTAAAAAAAGAGGGAAAAAAGAAAAATGGATGGGAGATACTGTTGTAGCCACAGTGGCTACTAGAATTCTAGTTGCCACCCTAACGCATTCCGGGTCAGATAGGGTCGGGTCACTTTTTGACCATATGACCCTTAGCATCATACAAACATGTTGAACCTATTTGTAAAATTCTTAAAGTTTGGGTAATTGTAAAAAGAAAAAATTTTGGGTAACAAATCATAATTTTACCATCAAATTTTTGGGACTTATTTATAAAAAAAATAAAATTTAGGTACTACAATGTAAGAAAAAATAAATTCGAGTACCAAATTGTAATTTTAGAAAAATATTGTATTTATTAGGATCGACCCACTGACCCGCCCCGACTCTAAAGGGCCAGACAAGATCATCAAAGAAACAGGGTCGGAGAGGATCAGTTATACATTTTGACCCCTAAGAGGCGGCAGGTCGGGTCAATTTTCAGACCTATATACATATATATACATTGCAAGAAAATACGACTTCATATGTGATATATATATATATATATATATATGACGTACATACGTAGGTACCTTTGTTGAGCGAATGCGGTTCAAGGAAAACTCCAGCTGATGCTCAAGTTGCTCCAGCTCCTTTGTGTTCAGTGATCCCACATCTTCCCCAAGGAGCTTCCTGCACCACAAAACAAAACCAGCATACAATCAATTTATATATGTTCCACATTTCCATTCATTGTTTTAGCTATATCTAGTTTGAATAACTAGCGTTTACATATATACAGCCAAATGAAATGAAGAATGATCACCTTTGAGAGTGCTGGAGGAGCTCCACCCTAGCCTTGACTTTCAGGTACTCTTGGTAGCTGCTCTGTTTGAGGCGAATGAAACATATATATAACAACTATGGAACTTACGAGAGCAGAAAGCTAGCCCAAGGGATATACAGACAGACAGTGGTGGAGATTTTACGTACGTACGTACCTGTGTCTCATGGAGAGGCCTATTGGCTTCCGTTGCTCCATAGCTGCATCTCTGGTACTTCTCAAGAGTCTTCACCATGCTATAATATACACACACACACATATATTTAACACGATATATAGGAGAAGTGTCAGAAATGTTTACTAAGGAACAATGATTGAAATTGATGTTAGGCACTAGGAAGCTATGATCAGAGTTTACTAAATTTTTGTACCCTCTATTATGGTAAATTAAAGAACATACCCCTATACTAAATTTTTGTACAAATATACCATTCTAAAATTAAATCGTAACAAATTTACCCTTCCATCAATTTATCTGTTAAGTGCCTTTTAAAGGAGCTGTGAAATTACGCAATTCATTTGGTGTTTTATAATGATTTTACAGCTTTTCATATGTTTTGTGAAAACCGGTATAAACAGACATACAAACTATCTGTATCTCGTATGCACCATACGTACCGATTTGACAACCTTACTATCAAGCAATCATGTATACTCAAAAGATATGAATTAAAGAAGTTTTTTTCCTAACATATATAATAGAAGTAACTATTTAATATATATATTCTATTGTTATGGGTGGTTAAAAGAGCAACGACTGTACTACCATATATTGAAGTGCATCAAGGACAAGTGTGATGCTGATGATGAAACCCAGTAACCAAAATGCAATCAGAGAAACTTCACAATCATATCATTTGAAAAGGAACCAGCCAAGCCAGAACCCAAACGTAAATAAATACTAGCTAGTTTACTCTCTCTCTCTCTCTGTTCATTTTCCAATCACGCACACCACAAAGACCAGCGGACTTATTTTGGTACTCTCTACGTACTGCAGAAAACTGGAAAACATCCCATCGTCTGCACCAAATCGTAACAGTACTACTGCTAGTGTGCTTACCTTTCTTCAATTTATCAAATAAATAAAATGGCACCTTCAATCAATTCAGATGTTTTTACTCTCCCCCTGCGCCCAGCAACACTAGTACTGGAGAATCATCCTATTATTCGTATCCGCAGGGTAAAAGAAAACCACCCATCCAAAAGAATTGAATCCCATAATATGCATTCATTTAATTAATTGGGTTTCACCAACATGATAAATCAGCCAGTGATGAGTAGATATATGAAGAGATCATGATGATGATGATCAGGTAAAAGAAACAAGCAATCTAGACCCATCTATATATGTGTACAAAATAATTAAGAACCTGGAGCTTGGATGTTTTGAGGTAATTAATGAATCCAATTATCACAGCCAGAACACAAAACAATTAATCAAAATCATAACAAGTTGATTGTTATTATTATGTATTTTAAACGCACAGAAATAATTAGTTGCTGCTCTTTCCTCTCTTTTTTTAACTTCTGGAAACCCTAAACCCACAGATCTTGCTTTCCAAACATGGATCCAGGAGGCCAAATTCAAACTACCCTTAGCAAGTGTGAATGACTAAGATGCACAATGAAACGTCGACAAGAGAATGATATACGTAGTAAGTAAGTGAGTGAGTGAGTGAGTGAGTGAGTAGTATTAGCTAGCAAGACCGACCTGGGCGTACTGCAGAACTCGCAGAGCTTGCCGCGGTTGGAGAAGATGATAAGAGCCACCTCAGCATCACAGAGAAGAGAGAGCTCGTACGCCTTTTTCAGCAACCCGTTTCTCCTCTTGGCAAACGTCACCTGCCTGTTTACTTTGTTCTCTATCCTCTTCAGCTCTACTCTCCCTCTCCCCATCACCAGTTCTCTTTCTGGTGTTGGTAAGGAGAGGGCAAGGCTTTTCTTTGGGAAGCCTGTGTGGCTGTAGCTTTTTAAGGGAGAAAGATGGGATGAGATGAGCAGTAGGATATATAGAAAGTGAGGAGAGGAGGGGAGGTTAGTAGTAGAGAGAGAGAAAAGTAAAAAGAGAGATGAAGATAAAACATTTCTGTAACAAACAGTATATGTTTTACATTTCTGGTACTCTATTATTACACTTCAATTTCTATGTGTTGTTATTTTGGAGAGGAAATGGAAACCCTGGGACTGGGAGATTATAATGGGGACCTGCCTTACATTTCTATAACAAACACTTATATGTTTTACATTTTTGGTACTCCCATTTTTTACTACCTACGTATTTATCAACATGGCCTATATTTATATACCTAGCTAGTTTTGGACTCTAGGAATTATAACCTGCTACTCCCTCCCCATTTTCTCCCCTTTTTCCTTGGTTTCCTAAATTGCTTTTACTTTTTTTTTTTTTTTTGAAACGAGGCGTTAGGACACACTAACTTTTTTTTTAAACGAGGAGTTAAAAATCCAGTATAATTAAAGTATAACCAGTAACTTAATATCGCACAAGGGAGCTCAACAAAATGGTCTCCTGGCGAACATCCATGTCCAAGTGAAGCTAAGTAATCTGCAACGACGTTCCCCTCTCAAAACACATGAACGATTTTCACCTGCCAATCGAGGGCTAGGAGGCGTCTCACTTCGGAAATTAGAGCCAAGTGTGGGTGTCGTTCCCCTACTCCTCCAATAAGTCGGATACACTACAAGAAATAGTGTTGTTAATGATGTTGGGTTAAATAAAGGGGGGCACATCACTCACTTATTTCCACCGTAAGTGAAGGATCATGTGCTTGGCAGGACTTTTTACAATTTTTGGGTGAAGCGGGAAAATGAAAAGGCAAGCAGGAGCTTTTAATTTTTTTTCTGCTGAAATAAGATGCCCCAAAACAAAGAATCACAATGACTAAAAAATCAGAACCCACTGTTTGAAATCAATCGAGGAAACCCTCCTTTCCTTCTCCCAACTCTCCATCCATGGAACTCGCTAGATTTCTTTTTCCTAAACATTAATGACATCTCCTTTACTTCAAATTTCCATCTATATTCGATTCCACCATCTCAATTAGAAGAAAAACTAAACCCTATGAAGCAATACCTCATCGAAGCAAAGTGAGCTGAAGTTCTTCATCTCGTCTCGCTCCTGAACCGTAATTTCCTCACAACGATAGTGTTCAAGGTTAGATTCTTCGTTCTCTTAAAATTAAAAACTAACACAAACTACTCTCCTTCCTTCTCAATGCTCACCCAATAACCTTATTGTTCGAGTCGCAGGTAGCAAGCCCAAGGTCTTCTACTCCAGTGCTTCCTGAAGCCTTGCTGAAGGTGGTCATCCAAATTAAAGTTGAGTCTCAACTTTGATTTCCTATTTGCTTTTCACCAGGTCATTTAAAAGTATTGTGTCTTTCTTTTGATTTGGTTGCTGCAAAATCTTTTTTTATCGATAGTTTACTCTTCAATTTTAGATTCTACCCACCAGCCTAAGACTCCCCCTAATTAATTTACCAAGTGTTTGGAATTTTACTATTTTGGTTTGTTGTTCCGAATCATTACTTTCATAAACCTATGAATTTACTCTCTGATGTGTTTGTCTCAACATGTTGAAACCACATACATTCTATTAAGGAGTCGAGTCACTCTGCTGGTTGTGATAATTGCTTTTTGCTTAATTTTTCCTCATGTTTGCTGGACATGGGAGTAGGGTCAACATATAGGTTGTTTTTCTCTCTTATTTATTTATTTATTTATTTATTTTATTTTCGATTGGGCGAGGCTTTGGATCAAAATAAATGTATTATGTTCCTGTCCTATAAGGGATAGTATGCTCCTAAATGGCATGTGGGCTTGAAGTGAGTGTTAAGTCCAAGTGCTTTAATTTAATGTTTGTTTAACTGAGAATTTGTTTTTCTCTTATCACTAGTGAGCTCTTTTATTGGTAGGGATTTAATTTGCAAATGCTTATTCTATTTGCAGGCTTTACTGGAAAGATAGCTTTGGACTTTAGCATTTTCAAGAATTTGACAGCAAGGTTAGCTCTGTTCTTGGTTCCCTTCACCCAACACTTATGCTACCTCTGTTTGGGGAAGTAAAATTATTATGCTTGAAGACCTGTACCAAAAACTTCCTTGTTTGATTTACAGAAATAAGGAAGTAGTGTAATTTGCATAAGTACACCAGTAGTATAAAATGCTTAGTTTAAACATGATTAAGGATAACTGAAAATAGAAGGAAATGGGGAAATGAAATGAGAAATAGTAGAATGTTCTGTAGTTTGAAATTTGCTACAAGTTTTGCTTTATCTTTGTTAACATCATTTGTGCATTTGCCTGTGTAATCGAATATAATGAAAACTAATTTAAGCAAGAGGTGGAATCAATAGAGGATTAGGGGCAACGTGATTCCCCTGGTGAATTATGGAAGAACCATGGCCGAAGACGCCAACCATGCAACACAATATCAACTTTGACAAGCTCAATTTCAAAATGAGTTATCATTCACCGCTTAACATCTTCTGGCACTTCAACACAAGTCAGAAAGAAACATGTGCCAATTTCTGATTCAACATATGAAGCTCTAAATCCACGCGATGGTAACTATTTATCATATATCGTTTGTTGGTATTATGATGTGAAGTTTCTTAGTCACTATGTTGACATTGATTATCTGAATTATAAATTTTCCAAATTAGGGATGAGTGTAATTAAGCAACTCAAGAGATTCCTCCTGCTGAAGAACACAACACAAGTTTGAATTCATACTCTATTCGAATATTGCTTTATCATGAAACATTTTCAAATTTAATCATAGTTCTAACTGCTTTACTTATTTATTATGCCTCATTAGATCTTAACAAGAAGAGGAAGAGAGGTTCCAACAAGTGCGAAAAAGTTGCTAAACTGAAATGTGGAGAACAATTGCATGTTTTACTTAAAAACCATGATGTTGACAAGAACCATCAGGAATTCTCTAGGTCCTTGGGCAGAATAGTACATGATCCTAGCCTATGTCCACTGGCAGTACCTCGATGGAAGTACATTCCACAAGAAACAGTAGATCACATGTGGGTTGTGGTTCAGGTGATGAATTTTAAAGGGCTCTTTTAACAATGACTTTGTTGGTTTGTTTATGTAGCATAATCTGTTGTCAAAATGAGCTCATGGAACTATATATAACCAATTTGCAGGAGAAGTGACATGTAGCTGATAGAGATAGGAAGGTTATGACTGATTATGCAAGGGAGACATGGAACAAAGCAAGAGGTAACTTCAAGAAAGAGTATGTAAAACCGTGTGAGAATATGGAAGAGGCAGTTAAGAATCTTACGCCACAAGTTCATAAACAATAATGGAAGTGGCTAGTAAAAGTGCATTGGTCAAGTGTCAAGTTCCAGATACTTTTTTTTGTATGATTTATATTCTCTGGTGACTTTTTATTTTCTTAAATTGTAATAAACTTAAACTTCTTACTGATTTCATTAGAAGCTGAATGAACAAAACACTAAGAATATAGCTAATGTTACCATGCCTTCCCGCACTGGTAGTAAGCCTAGCAGGGAAATCACCCATCAATATGTAAGTACTTAAATATATAGCCTGTATATTTTTGTAAAATTGCATTGCATGTGTTGCTCCTTGGTACATGGGTTCTTATATTAGATCATCATAGGTTGCTCTGTTTGCCTTTTCACTTTGTACCCATTTTTGGATTTTCTATTTCTTTTGTTGTGTTGATTTTATAGGTTGAGGTACATATTTGATTCTCATATTTTTGTTCTCTGTTGCTTTGTAAGATAATCATAATTTTGTTCTTCCACCTAATTTCGCAACATTGTTTTTTGAAACTCGTAGCATGGATGGGAAATTGGTGGATGTTGCTAGCATTGAGAAACATGTATGTGATTTGCTTTCCCATCTTATAACTTATGTCTTCATTAGTGTTTCTACTAATATTACTAACTGTGTTGGGATCTAATATTCTTGAATAGAATCATATAATTGAAATTCAGAATGTTGAACCTGACTTGTGTCCATTTGAAGTAGTTGAAAAGAGTTTTGGGCTTCAAAAGAGTGATAAAGTATTTTGTTATGGAGGTGGTGTTACTCCCAAAGACTTTGAGAGGTCGTCTGCTGAGTTCACCAATGACGCTGCATTGCAACATGCTCTAGATGAAATTGTAGGCCTCAGGGACCACGTGCAAATATTAGAGACAAAATTGGTAGGAATGAATCATGTAGAGGCTGAACTTGTAGTGGTGAAGGAAATGCTTTGAAATGTAATGGGACAAAGAACTCCATCCCCAGACCCTCTGCCTGAGAATTGAGATCAACAGGTACTTTTGGCTACAAGTTTGGACTTTGATTCTTTATTTGCTCGCTTGTGAAATCTGGTTAGAAAATTAGTGAATGAAAAATGTAGAACTATGTTTCAGTACTGATATACTATAGTGATTTCCGACAGACTATTGAAGATCCAAGCAACCATTTATTCATATATGCACATATAGTTTACATTACAGGTTAACAGATGGTTTTAGTTTTATTTGAGGATGTATTTGATTATTGGCTACTTGAACTAAGGTTTTAATTGGTTGCAGATTTTTTTACTCTGTTTTAGTTTCTGCCTTGTTGGAACTAACTAATCTTATGAGTGTTTTGCTTAGTTTATGAGTAGTATAATGGATTATGCTTCCATTTTGTTCCTTTTGTTTATGAATAATTGAGCTTGTAGTGATGGGTAATCTAGTTCTAATCATACTATAGTATATCATTGTGGTTATATAATTTTCATCCAACACTATCAAGCATTATGGGAAGAAATTTTTCAGGGTGACTTCCCATAAGGTCACCCATCCTTATTGTGCTCCGCACTGAGCACGTTTAACTTTGGAGTTCTCACAAGAATTTTTCCATTTCACCCCAAAACGCGTTTTGTCAGTTAAGGTCGGTTTCCTAATTATGAACCATGGATCTCTCATGTGCTTTGTCGATGTGGGATTTGCGTAAGGTGTTACATACACCCCCCCTTGGGACTCACGCCCTCGTTTAGGTTTGGCCACCATCGTT